CTTCCTGCCCAAAAGGGAGCCGCGCCGGAAATCGGCCCCAGGCGGGCGGGAGGGAGGGAGGGAGGGAGGGGCGGGACGAGCGGCTGCTATGGCGACGGGAGCGAGCGCCGTCTCCGGGGCAACGAGGCCGCCCTGCCGCCGTCGCGCCGCCAGGAGGCGCTCCGGCGGAACCTGTAGGGCCGCGCGGAGGGTCATGGGAAGGCGGCCCAAGCCGACGCGGGGCGCGCACCGGGCCTCTCGGCGCGCGGTCCCGCGTCCCCAGAAGCCGGGCTTTCTCCACCTTTTGGAGGCGTTATGGTTCTGGGTGTCTCGTAAGTGCCGCTCGTGGACGCGAACGTGGCCCCCGGGAGACTCCCCGAGACCCCCGATAAAATAGGAGGCCGCTTGGCCGGCCTCGGAAGGGGCGGGGCTTGGGAGGAGCAGGCGTTACCATAGCAACGAAAAGGCCTCGCCGGCCCAGATGTTAGCAGCTGCCTCGCCCGGCGGGGCCAAAGGGTTTGCCCCGATCCAGCAGCGCTTTGCTGGGTGCGGGTTTGCCCTGCAGAAGGCCGAGGAAGCGGAAAGTGTGTCTCTGAGCATACGCAGAGGGCCCTTCCATCCTTTTATTTATTCATCAAACTTATATAGCCTCAAGAACGTCTCCCCAAGAATGGAGCTGAGTTTCCAGAGGGGCCTTAAATCAGGAGCGCCGTTTCTGTCAAGGCAGAGGCTCTCCGTGTCTCTGGAGGAGTCGCTGCAGGCAGGGCAGGGCAGAGACTCACGCAGAGGGCGGCCTCCCTGGGAGCAGGTCAAAAGGGGCTTAAGGCGATCTGTGGGTATTTTCCACAACGAGGGAGATGATGATGATTAGATTTTTATCCCACGATAGGTAGCTAGATAGGAGCAAACATCCCTAATGCTCCTTCCTCCTATTTTCCCCAGAACAACAACCCTGTGAGGTTGCTTGGGCTGAGAGAGCGACTGGCCCAAAGTCACCCAGCCGGCTTTCGTGCCTCAGGCGGGACTAGAACTCACCACCTCCCAGTTCCTAGGCCAGCACCTTCACCGCTACCCCAAGCTGGCTCTCTGATGAAAACAGACTGAGTGCTTTCCTCTTGTCTAACTTGGACAAGACTTTAAAGGGTCCAGGTAGACTACAGATCTAAGTACCGTGGTCTTTTCTATCTTTTTTTTTTTGCCTTTTTCTTCTCCGTGGCTACCAGAGGAACTAATGTTGAATGGACAAGTCTGGAGCTGCAGGACCCTTTGTGGGCCAGAGGCTGGGGCCCCTCGACACCCACCCTAAACTTGCAAGATGCGCATCACCTTCTGTCAGGGCGTGTTAGCAGCCGCCATCGCCATTAACCTGCTGATCCTCTATTACATCTCAAGGCTGCAGCAGCATGTCTTACAGCGGCACAGGGACCATGCGCAACCCAGTTCCCCTCAGCACCTCGGCCCCCTCCGCCCTGGTGTGACGATCCTCATCCGAGAGTTCGAAGATTTTGAGAACTACGTCCCCAGCGTGGTTCAGTCTTTCCTGAAACAGAAACCAGAGCTGCCTGTACTGGTTGTGGCAGACAGCTTGCCATACCCTCCCTTGATTCTCCCCAAGGCTCCCAATGTTCAGGTTGTCATTCTCAAGCCTTCCCCAGCTCAGCCTGCCTACGTATTCAGGCCTGAGGCTTACGTGAGGACGGAGTATGTGGCCCTGGTACCTGACGGGGTGAGAGTGGATTCCATATCACAACTGGAGGACATGCTGGAGGAGTACAAGCGTAGCCAAGGGAAAGCTGAGATGGTCGCCGCTCCAGTGCATTCACTGATGCCCTTCCGGTGCCTTAACCTCAAGGTTAACCTTAAGGAATGGACAGCGGAGTATAGTGAGGCGCCTCCTTCCTCCAAGCTGTGCACTGCCTTGAAGGGGAAAGCCGTTGTCCTTCTCCGCACCAAGAATCTGTTCAACCTTTCCATGCCCTTGGCCAAACCCTTGCTGACCTCCCTCTTCATCCAGACTTCTCTGCGAGGATGGGCTGTCCGCATCCTTGATATTTCCTTCTCAGTGCTTCACCAGCCTTTGTTCACCTCCTCCCATAACCAGTGGAAGGCTGATAACCTTGTCAAGTCCAATCAACTACAGCTCTTCCGGGATTTTGGCATCAAGCAGGTGATTCTGGAGGAAGGAAAGGAGCAGTGGTTTGGATGCAGCAAGGAGACACCGCGGTGTTTTGGCACCATTCATGATGACACACCTGAATACCTCTACCAGAACCGCTGGACTCCACCTTGCTGTCTTAAAGCACTGAGGGAGACAGCCAAATATGTCATTAACATCTTGGAAATTTCTGGGGTACGGTACTGGCTGGAAGGAGGGACACTTCTTGGGGCAGCCCGTTACCAGGACATCATCCCATGGGATTATGACGTTGACCTAGGTATTTATCTGGAAGATATTCCCAATTGTGAATTACTCAGGAACGCAGAGTCTGGTTCCATCGTGGATGAGAAAGGCTTTGTTTGGGAAAAGGCCATTGAGGGCGACTTCTATCGGGTACAGTACAGTGAACACAATCATTTGCACGTTGACTTGTGGCCCTTCTACTCTAAGAATGGCTTGATGACCAAGGACACATGGATGGACCATCGGCAAGACATTGAGTTTCCCGAGCATTTCTTGAAGCCCTTGGTCCCCATCGAGTTTGCTGGCTTCATTGCTTTGGCGCCCAACAATTACCGGAGCTTCCTGGAGCTGAAGTTTGGGGAAGGGGTGATTGAAAATCCAGAATACCCAAACCCAGCACTGAAGAGCATGAATACGGGAAGATAAGGGAACCTTTGCCATGGGCCCAGCTGCTAAGGGGGAGATCTTTAGGTCTCTGAAAGCTAAAATCTTCCCTTTGATATGAATTGAGAATGAATCTTTGCTGCACTTGGGGGGTTACCCATCTATTGCTGGTCCCTCAGCATCTCTTCAGAACTCGGGGAGATGTTTGCAACAATCAGTGGATTCAGAGTACGGCCCAGAGGGCCGTTCTGCATTTCCTTTCTAGGAGCAATCAGCCCGATGCTTCCATGACACTCATTCCTAGGCCGTGATAACCATAACTCAGTATTCTTTATCGTCAGCAGCTGGTATTCAAAGGTAGACTGCCTCTGCACTCAGCTATGATTGTTACATTTGAAAAAGACGAACGCTAGAGAGGACAATTGTCTTTTAAAATACAAGTGTGTGCTGGATCACCTGAAGAGAAAAAAAGACTGCTGTTCATTTTGGCAACGGGCACCTGACAGGGCAAACAGACATGCTGACTTTCACAAAGTGGCCTAGAATAAGGGAGAAAGTAGGAAGGATCAAAAGTGAAGGTCCTGTCATTGTCCTAGGACTGAAAAATGTGACACCCCCCCCCCCAATTCAGTTCTCCCTTTCTTCAAAATTACTTAAGAAGATTGGCATGGTGCTCAGACAAGAACCAGCAGTAAGTTTTACAAGAGAAAGCTAGGCACTGAAAAAAGTTGGACAGGTTGTTCCTAAGACGGCCCTGCCCAACCAGTTAGCCTACAACGGTGTTGGACCGCTTCCAGGAATTCCATGCCAGCATGGCCTGTAAATCTCGATGCCAGGTGCAGGAAGATTGTCCTAGAAATGTGTAAGAAGGGACCTGCACTGTTTTCCCTGGTCAGTGGCAATAAGGCAGGCAGAAGCTGTGGCTAAGGCTCAGGAAAAAATGAAAGAAAAGCCCTCTCTTTTTGAGAATAACCCTGCTTCTGTGATCCTTTGAACTACATTCTTTGAAGTTAGGTTCATGATTAACTGGGCAGGAAGTTTTCCTCTGTCCCCTGAGATGTCTTCTCAGACAGGTGTCCTGAGGAACACAGCCTCCGGTGGCTGGGTGTCCTCCACATGTTGGGAGAAAGGGGGCATGTGGAATATAGGTGCAAGGACAGCTTGAATGAATGGGAGCATGGGCCTCTGGTTATGCCTCTACTGTGAACATGCGCTTTTTTGAAGAATGAAAGAACAGAGTTCCTCATTCTGTTCTCCTCCCTTCTCCAAAGCCCCTGAACTCCATTGGCTTTTATCACATTTGGGCTTATTCCACACCCGTTTGGGGCTGTTCCCTCACTTTATCTTGCTAGCAACCAGCAATTGATAAGTGCTAGGTGTCAGGCTTGGCATGGAGTTTCCATTGGATGAGTCATATCCTGAAATTGCTTGGTTTTAAAACAATAAAAATAAAAACAATGTGCCACTATCCTGTAACTTGGCAAGGTTCTTATTTAATGCTGTGAATTTTTTTTTCTTTTGGAAAAGGGCCAGAGAACAGCTTTGTAAAATCAGGGTCAAAAATGAGCACACTCAGAAGATGCTGGATTAGACACTTGCCAAAAAAAATATTACAAATGTGAATGGGCTTCTTTAAAAAAGGAGGAATAACTAAAACAAGTTGCTAAAATACAGTTTGATTTCAGTCCAAATTCCTGCAGGGATGTGTTAAAATGTTGGATGAGTTTGGGGTTTGAATGGGGTCAGCAAACCACGCACAGAAGTGATTTCAGTTCATTTGGGTTTCGTTTTCCAGTTGGGGCCTTTGTGGATTCAGCTCATGGCAGGATTTTTGTTTCATGCCGGAGCAAAAGTACTTGGTACCTCTATGAAATGGTTTTGCCTGTTTCCCTCTCTGTGCTAATCTGCAAAAACCGTGGTGTGGCTTCTCTTCCATACAGGATCTTTCCTCATGGCCGTTTATGCCTCCCATAGGAATAGCTGTACAAGTTTCCACAAGTACTCATTCTCAGATTCTCAGGCACAGGAGAGCAGAGGTGAAAACCTTACGGCAATTCAAATGGCCAGCTGGATGACCTCTACTTTCTTGGAAGCAGAATCTGTTAAAACTCTGAAGAAACAGGGTTTTTACTTTTTGAATTCACCTTTAATGCAGTTTGCAAATACGCTGTTTTAAAAAGCATCTGTATCTTCTTTCCCAGGGATACAGGGAAATCAAAGAGGAATAGCACACTTCTCTGCCACTGGCTGCACACGTCATCTTGAGCTATGATGTGTGCAGTTTGCCAGGTTTTGGTTTAGCATGTTATATGAATAACACTCATCCTGGTTAATCAGACCATGCTCCCTGTGAGATGAGAATTCATTTGAAATGCAACACCTTAGAATTTCCCTGATGTCTTAGGTAAGGAGCTGTAGCAATTCAATTAAAACAGAAATAGTTGTTTGTAGTGTGCATCTCTTCTGTTTCTTTTGTTAAGATAAATGGACCCCTTTCCTCCTAAGCCATGGGCTAGAGCAGTGTTTTTCAAACTTGGCAACTTTTAAGATGTGTACACTAACTCCCAGAATTCTGGGCTGGCTGGGGAATTCTGGGAGTTAAAGTACACACATCTTAAAGTTACCAAATTTGAAAAACACTTGGCCAGAGGTTATCTTGCTGTAACCCTCTCCAACCTGTTGCTCTTGAGATGCGTTGGATTATCACCTCCTGTGTAGCCAAGGCTGAGAACCTTTTCTCAGAGCATAGTCATTTATACTGTAATCCTTAGAAGCGTCTTTGAATTGCTGGTGAACAGCAAACATGAGCGGGAGGAGGGTTTTTAACTTAAGCATCCATTTTTAGCAATCTTCTTCCACCCACGTCACAGGCAGAATTGCAAAAGCAGAAAACATCCAGCAAGGCCATTTCATCTGATTATCTTATCTTGCCACTGTGACTTTCTCATGGAATTGCTAATGTTTTGAAAGAAGGGTTCCTGCCCCATCAACAATCTTAAGAGGCAGAGATTTATTCCAGCTGTTGGCTGCCTTTAAACACAGAGGCTAATGAAAATCAAACTCCTGGCCTCAAAGAATCAGGAGGAGTCTGGTAGCACCTTCTCTGACTAACACATTTTATTGAAAGGTGTAAGCTTTTGAGATTCCCAACTCTTTCCCTGCACCTTTGCTGCCATTGGGGGGTTTTGCAACCCAGGTACATTCTTGACGGAGGAGCTGGAAACGGGCTAAGGGGTCAAGGTGGGAGAAAACTGCGCTTGCTTCCTCACTTGCAGCCAGAGGTTTACTCAGTGCAAGAGGTTGCAACAGGTGAGATAAGGATTGAGTGCAATAAATGTTGCTCTTCCTAGACCACCTCTATTATTTCGTTTCCTGTCCTCTGCGATGCCGTGTTCCTGCTGGCAGAGAACAGCAGCTGCTGAACAAGGTCCAACCTGGAATACCAAAGCTGTTGATGGCTGCGGCGGCATCTCAGATGTATTTCCAATTCCAAGCCTGAAGAGATCATTCTGAACTCTTGTCGGGAACTCCATGGAAAGTCCCGCTCTCGTACAAGTTGCGCAGGGGTTGGAATGTCACAGACATCTTGATCTTTTCCGGTTAAGTCGCTGGCAGGAAGAGCTCCATTCATGCTAAGTTACTGAGTGTGACGTGGAAACGGACGGGGCAGAAGATTAATTTAGCTTCTGAGGAAACCCAGTTGGCCTTCATGGCTGGCAACATGCAAGAGCCCAGATTAGGCTGAGATGACTGGGCGGTTTACAGTTCAGCGTGTTGTGGGAAATGCAGCCGCTGTCTTTCCACGTTAAGATGTAATGTGTTTTAGCGTGTTATTTTTAAGGTTCAGCATATAACCTGCCACTTGGCCTGGGGCGGGGAGGGAATACCTTGAGCGTGGGGATGGCTAGCCCCATAGAGGCCTCCTGTCTTCAGCCCCAGATTTTTCATTTTCTTGGACTCTCCCTT